CAGTGACATTGATAAGTTTACATCAATGCCCGATGATACTGACAAGGTTTATGACACCGACAATACTATTAGGTTGTAGACACTGTCCGGTGATATTGACTTGGTTTACGACAATGTGCGGTGAATGTCTAGCATGTGCGTGATAATGAGATCATTAAGGACAACCCCATGGCAAGTGCTAGTGAGCGGAGACAGACCTGACATCACTGCTTGTGCCCTACTCCCGGGGTGCGCGTTTCAGGATTTAATAGGTACTTGTCACGGCAAGGAAACTTTCGTACGATGTTATACAATAGCTTTCGGTTTTATTGTGTACAGTATTATCTAAATGTGTTTTTTATGTACTCACCGGTATCTTTCAAAACGTTTAATGGTAGACATGAGGATTTCCAAATTTGACGCATCAGTTACAAAAGGGACGTCCGATGCAGGTACCATATGTCCTGGGTTTTTTAAGGTGAGTGAGTGAGTATGGTTTTACGCCGCTTTGGGCAATATTCCCGAGATATCGCGGCAGGGGACACCAGAAATGGGCCACATATGTGGGTAATCGAACCCGGGTCTTCGGCGTGACGACCGAACACTTTAACCACTAGGCTACCCCACTACCCCTTTCAGGTGAACAATTGACTTGCCTTTGCATGTGTTCGTGGCGGTTGCCACCGATGGTTAAAAAACCCGGTAAGATTACTATTTCATTGTGGTTCCTCGACGCATGCTCGTGATATCGTCGGAATTTTGCTCAAAGCGGCGCAAAACCATACTCACAAATTCATATACACGGCGACTTTTGATAGGAATTTAAAAGATGGAAGAACATGAATACATGGCACGTTTTGTATGGATAACAACTTCTTATGACTATGGAAAGGGTTTTGCAGGTTTTATTCCGTCTTGTCCTGTCTTCTACCCAGATATTATCTTTGTCTCTTGGCAAAAACCCGTGCAATACGTGTTGTCGCCTTAGGTACAGTGTAGACGTCTATTGCCGAGTGAAATAAAGGTTTGTATGCTCATGTTATCAACCATTTGTTTGTTTTATTATGACTCGTGTTTACAAGACGCTATGATCCACTGCAACATTAACGACCGCGGATTATGAAAGAACTCCTCACTATCCGCCTCCTTCTCGAGGCCTTCACATTTGTGGCGATCATTACGTGCGTGATTATGTAAAACACTTTACATAAACATGTTTGTAGTTTCACAAACAGTCAGCAGCACCATTAAGGATAAAGAATAAGACACGTTAATGTGTTTCTGACATTAAGGGGACGCAGCACCTCGGTACACCTATCACGACATCGTCTACGATGTCCCGATGCGGTGTCTACACATCCATACCCCGTAGCGTCCGATCAGCCGTCGATCCCCGGGGAGAAGGAGCACGTTATTCGTGTTATTGCCTCACAGAGATTGGATTGATTCGAGGAAAACTGACACGAAATATAACAGTTACCTACAATGGAGGCGGCAAATCTACCCAATTAACTCGTTTAAGATCAATTTAAGATCCCGATAAAGCATACGGTAGGTCTGATGGAAAATGTCAAGTATTACGTTTATCATAGCAAGCATGTAATCGTCACTTAATGCACCGTTGTTTGCACAATACAGGGAGAAACAAAAAATGATATTTGTGAAAAGCTGTCAATTGTTAAACTTCCATTTTGATTCAAAATACAGTTACTTATCTTCACAAACAAACGTCGTTTCATGAAATATTTGCTGAAGTTATGCATACCAAACTGCGTAACACTTTCTATATCATTGTACGAACTACCATCCATGTCTATCTAAAAGCAACGCAAATATGCATTAAGGTTCAACAAATATTATTTTATCCCCTTTTTTATTTAAATAGATACCAACTGTCCCTCTAAAAATGGAAAACGTATCCAGAGTAACAAACACCATCCAAGAATGGGGGGGGGGGGGTTAAAAGTGTATTCCTCCTTCCCTTCCGAGGCATCTTCAAACAATCGCGTATGGTATTTTTTGCTCGGATTTAAAGTACACGTTAAGGGCAGATAACTCTGAGACGTGTACTTATATGATTGTAACCTTTCATTTTGAAAGAAATTGTTTGAATTTGTCTCATATCTATTTTTCTAATACCCAAATACGACAAAGAACTATGGAATACTGTAAGGGACATTCTCGCGATCTCGCATTCTCGCGATCTCGACCTTTGGAAACGAGGTAAATATGCCCAAAAAACGAGAATGCCAAATCTCGCGTTCTCGCGATCTCGCATTCTTGTGTTTTGGGCATATTTACCTCGTTTCCAAAGGTCGAGATCGCGAGAATGCGAGATCGCGAGAATGTCCCTTACAGTATTCCATAAAGACCTCCTGAAATATTTTTTTTATAATTTTGGGAAATAGGAATTCCTTTATTCCGATATACTAAAGGTCCTCAACAGATTTTTTATAAAAAAACATCGTTATAACGGATAGGTTTGTTGTTAGGATGTAACTTGTGACTGTGTGCCCATGTTGAGGTATTGTATCTTAAAGGAGTTTGTTCGTCGGCACTGATCGGCAAGTCCCGATGTTGACGAGTTGACGAGGAATAATGGCACCGTTACACCGTAAGCATCTGGCATCAAGACACTTTACGTCTAGAGCTGCACAAATGCACGTTTGTGTTGAATTGTTTAAGAATTGTAAAGTTTGTTATGACAAATAATATACAACGACGCGTAATAAAGATAATTACGTAAAACCATTGTTCACATTGAAATCTGGCAGAATAGAAACATGTGAGTACAGTGTCGATCATTTACTCAGCGACTACTCTCCCCGGGGAGTCCAGCTTTATACGTTCAGCGGCGATGTCTACTCGTATATTTGGATTTGAGTTTTCTATGAAAAAAACAAGGTGTGGGACATTTACTGGGTGCCGGATTCGACCTCCTGCTTGACACCTGCATCAACTAGTCCAAGATCCATATAGGATATCAACTAAACCCGTGATATCTAAGCCTGATTCATTTGTACATGTTACCTCTAACCTGGTTTCATCTTGACCATTCCCCTCGTCACACGTTTCATCTAATCCCGCCTAATCCAGACCCATTTCGTCTAAACTCAAACTTTTTCCATCTTAGACCGACCCATCTGAACGTGATTCATATCTAAACTTTTCCCATCTAAACCGGTCTCATCTGAACCCGCCGCCATCTTAACCCGCTCCATCTGAACCTGATTCATATAAACCCACCCCATCTTAACCCGCTCCATCTGAACCTGATTCATATAAACCCGTCCCATCTGAATCTGATTCATATAAACCCACCCCATCTTAACCCGTCCATCTGAACCTGATTCATATAAACTCACTCCATCTTAACCCGCCCCATCTGATCTTGATTCATATAAACCCGTCCCGTCTTAACCCGCCCATCTGATATTGATTCATATAAACCCACCCCATCTTAACCCGTCCATCTGAACCTGATTCATATAAACCCACCCCATCTTAACCCGCCCATCTGATCTTGATTCATATAAACCCGTCCCATCTTAACCCGCCCATCTGATCTTGATTCATATAAACCCGTCCCATCTTAACCCGTCCCCTCTGAACCCGGGTTTCAGCAGAATCTTCCAATAAGACACATTCCTTTTTAAATCGACGCTAAAAAGACATTTCGCCCGTAAACCCGTTTCATCAAAATGTGTCTCATTTAGGACCGTTTCTCCCAATTCCGACTCATAAAACAACCTGAGAGGTTTCATCTGAGAGGCCTCTGACAAAAACGTTACACATCTCGTACTCACAAGGAGGCCGAGTGAGTGAGTGAGTGAGTGAGTGAGTGAGTGAGGTGGGTTTAACGCCGCTTTGAAAACTGTTCCAGTCACATTAGGGCGTGTCAGTTTGATCTGAGAGGAAAGCTCGAAACATTGTCTTAGAAGCCTTGTTATACCCACAAGCACTGGTACGGTGCTGACAAACCTAGAAACATTATCCTGGCTATTCTGAGATTTGAACCAACAATCACAGGTTTCTGGCACGCCTAAGGGACACAACTCTGCACAGCGAGTTGCGACCGAGGTCGAGCCTGCATGTGGCTGCTGAATGCTAAAGGCGCTGACTGAATGTGCACTCGGAACAACGACGTCTATGTCGACGTGTTGGAGCATCCCCTCACAGTCATAAAAAAAACTTGATTGATAAGCCCGTCATTACAAATTGACATCAGATCACACCTGGGCTGTTAGTTATTGGTATATAGCCATGGTTATCGGTCATAACTTGTCGCACCAAGCCTTTAGAGGTGAAATACATTTTTATAGTATCCTAGAATGCACACTTTATAATAACTGGAATAATCAAATTTCTAATAATTTTACGAGGCATTCATTGTCACGTTTTCACTTCTAACATTTAGCCGCCGAAAGTTTTATTTTCAATATCGTTCACTTAAACATTAATTTTCTTTTAAATAATTTAAAAACTCACAGCCTTAATTAACTTTTATTTCTACTGAAAACTTTAACTATGCTATTACAGAACATAAAAAGTATAAATATATTGAATTCACAAAAAATCAACCTTATCACAGATTAGTTCTCATGATAGGAGAAAGGAATTGTGATTAACAGTGCAGATAAATGTCTATTCGCATTTTTGTAAATTATATTATTTCAAACTTCTTACTAGAATCGATCTGACGGATTTATTCCGGTTCTGATCACGCAGCGTCTAATTATATTAATATTGTAAAAAGTAACTTGACGCTAAAGTAGGACGCATGGCTAAAAGATCACATCAATCCTGAAACAATATTAACTGTACCTTCACACGTAGTTGCAAAGATAAATTTATTAGCATCATTGCCTGTCAACCGAAGCTACTTCTAAAGTAATTAAAGGCAACTCACACAAAATATAAAGCATTTAACCATTTAACCACGTAAAGAAAATGTTAAACTTTCAACCCAACAAATCAAAGAGCTACATTTTTTATTTAATAAAATAATTAATCCAACTTACCTAATGACGTCAGAGACTTTGCGAGTACTCCTCCAAACATTAGCATGAGACACACACAGACCAGTTGGGAGTCCCGTGCAAATTCCATTGTCTCCTTGCTATGTGTCGTGGAGCCAGCAGGCGATATGGCGAGTAAGCGGACGACTGTCCCTCGCTATCTAGTTAAATACTGTACTTCGCCAGCGCGCCACTGTAGGCTTATCGTCACTAGGTAACGTGCAGTACCACGCCCCCATTCGCACCGACGCTCGAGCATGCAGTGAACGTGCACTTACCTTGTGAAGAGGAGGTGGGTGTCGGGAGGGAGAGGGAGGGAGGAGGGGGGAGGGTGGGAGGGAGTTCCGGTCATGTTTGACACACCTTTGACAATGTGACCGTTTCTTACAAGCGATCAATTTGAAATTGTTGGGAAGCTGGTTTACTGCAACCGATTGCAGTTGGAACTGGCAGATGATTTATCGTCAATGGAAAAGTATTTAGTAGTTTCCTGAATTTCGTGAAGAAAGGATTTATGTCAAAGAGTGGATGAAAAAGGTTAATTGTGGTGCGGCTATGTTCAGCATCGCCCAGATGCACTTCTCGCGGTGCATATTTGAAACAACTTTGATACATTGATTCTAAAGTAATTAAGTTTTATTCCTCACGTTTTCAGAGGCAGTTTTTAGAGTCGGTGTCGCCAGGGTGTTTAATGGCCGCGTCGTGACTGTAGATTACTTTAACTAGTTAGCTCGAGGTGGAGATTAAATGGGTGGAGCAATGATTGCATGTAGAACAGTCAGAGAACGGCTTCCTGGTTTAACCGAATTACAGTGAAATCGCGTTAACCAGGGTGATACCGAGCCATGAGAAACTGTGAGTCCTAACTGGAGACTTACAAGTACGAAGCAGAATATATGTAGAGGTTCACCTCAACACTGTCCGAAAATTTTGTTTCCTGGCAATGGGGTCCGCATTAACATAATTTCGGATCCACGAATCATGGTACGAATGTGAACATAGGTCGAGGTTTCCTGTGATGTTATCCAGACAAGCGTGTCTGGATAAACGAGGTTTAACGTTACGTCCTGGTACAGCGTACACGACGTACTTAAGTAACTCCATAGTAAAGATTGCGCTGTCGTCATTTTTACAAATTAGTGGCTACATGAAATCATTGTTGATTGTAGAACTGATGATTGATGTCCGTCGGTCTTGACGAGGTAATTCTTACACCAGCAAAGACCCGGTTCGATTCTCATCATGGCGATCCTGGCATCTATAGCACATACGGAAGAGAGTTTATGGATGTCAACTTCTTTTTTATGAGAAAACACAACGTTTTGGAGTACATGCTTACTCCTTTATCAGGTGAATGAATGCCATGAGGCAGAGAACATATATATGTCCATGTAAGGACTACAAAAGTAATAAGATAACAAAAGGTGGAAACTAACAAGGGAAGCCAACAGATAATTGTCGCTGATAGGTGATTAGCAAATGATAACGGAAGCCAACACTTGACAGTAATTAGCGCTGATGGTTATGGACAACTGAAAAAGATGTGTTTCCTCATAATAAAGAAGTTGACATCAATAAATTCTCTTCCTTATGAGTATCAGATCTAAATGCCATTCAAAAACTTGATCGCATAGTTACGCAACAGCGATTGGGTTCATGTCCGGTGAACATGCCGGCCGTGGTAAAACGTGTATGTTGGCGTTTGCTAGAAAGTTCTGGGTCAGCCTTGCCGTGTGAGGCCTCGCATTATCGTGCTGGAAAATGATACCATTAGGCTGTTGTTGGATGAATGGCACCACAACTGGTTGTAAGATGTCATCACGATAATGCTGCGCATTCAGGTTTCCTCGAATAACGACGAGTCTCGTTTTGACGTCACCGCAGATTCCACCCCAAACCATTAAACCTCCGCCTCCATATGGCCTGACTTGATGGATGCAGTTCGGTGCCAAACGTTCACCTACTCTTCGGTACACACGCTGCCGGCCGTCGTTCCTGAAGATGCAAAATCTGCTTTCGTCAGAAAACATGACACGTGCCCAGTTCCACCGTTGCCACCGTCGAAGTCGCCTGGCCCATATCCGTCTGTTGAGTCGGTGTTGAGGAGTCAGGAACGCTCCGCGGTAGGGGCGACGTGCTCGGATAACATGTGCCCGCAGTCTCCTGTACACGGTTTGTCGACTTATCACGTGCCCCAGTGCCGTCTGTGCCGTTAACGTCGCCGTTACGAAGCGGTTCCGAAGGTGAAGTACCCGGATGTGGCGGTCTTCAATAGCCGTGGTCACCCGTGGTCTCCCGGTTCTCGGCCTGTCTGCTGTTCGACCTGTTTGACGCAAATTCTCTTCCTTATGAGTATTACATCTAAATGTCATTCAAAAACTTGATCGCATAGTTACGCAACGGGATGCCGTTGTACAAAACAACCTCTGCGCTGTGTAGCCTAGTAGTTAAAGCGTTCGCTCGTCACGTCGAAGGCCCGGGTTCGATTCCCGACATGGGTACAATGTGTGAAGCCCATTTCTGGATATTTCTGGATATTGCTGGAATATTGCCCAAATCGGCGTAAAACCATACTCACTCACTCACTATGTTAAGGAATGGGGGTATGATCACCTTAGCGCTAAGTTCGTTTTGAACAACAGCACCCTGGTGGGTATTTGTATCCGCCCATTGGTTACCTACAGGTGTCTATGTACTTCAGTTACCGACCCGTGAAGATCCGGGTTAGAATTGGTCTTCAGAAACCCATGCTTGTCGAAAGAGGCGACCATGCTTGTCGTAAGAGTGGACCAACTAGATCAGGTGGTCAGTCGTATCCAAATTGTGTAGATTGATGTTCATGATGTCAATCACTAGATTGTTTGGTCCAGACTCGTTCATTAAACACCGCCGCCATATACCTGGAATATGCTTAGGGTGCGGCGTAAAACAACAACCAAACAAACCTTCAGTTACCTTACAGGCGTGTATCTATATCCGTCAGTTATCCTACAAATGTGAATCTATATCCGTCAGTTATCCCACAGATGTGTATCTATATCCGTCAGTTATCCTACAAATGTGAATCTATATCCGTCAGTTATCCTACAGATGTGTATCTATATCCGTCAGTTATCCTACAAATGTGAATCTATATCCGTCAGTTATCCCACAGATGTGTATCTATATCCGTCAGTTATCCTACAAATGTGAATCTATATCCGTCAGTTACCCTACAGGCGTGTATCTATATCCGTCAGTTACCTTACAGGCGTGTATCTATATCCGTCAGTTACCCTACAGGCGTGTATCTATATGCGTCAGTTACCCTACAGGCGTGTATCTATATCCGACAGTTACCCTACAGGCGTGTATCTATATCCGACAGTTACCCTACAGGCGTGTATCTATATCCGTCAGTTACCCTACAGGCGTGTATCTATATCCGTCAGTTACCCTACAGGCGCGCATCTATATCCGTCAGTTACCCTACAGATGTGTATCTATATCCGACAGTTACCCTACAGGCGTGTATCTATATCCGACAGTTACCCTACAGGCGTGTATCTATATCCGTCAGTTACCCTACAGGCGCGCATCTATATCCGTCAGTTACCCTACAAGCGTGTATCTATATCCGTCAGTTACCCTACAGGCGTGTATCTATATCCGTCAGTTACCCTACAGACGTGTATCTATATCCGACAGTTACCCTACAGACGTGTATCTATATCCGTCAGTTACCCTACAGACGTGTATCTATATCCGTCAGTTACCCTACAGACGTGTATCTATATCCGTCAGTTACCCTACAGACGTGTATCTATATCCGTCAGTTACCCTACAGATGTGTATATGCAAAAATGATAGCGCAAGATCAATACAAGAAATGTAGATAGAATAACAAAGAGAAAGGAATTGTACAGATATACACAAGGGTTACTGACAGATATAGGACAATAAAGTAATTCACATTTAGTTCGTTACAAGCCTATATACAGCATATATACAACAAATGACCGGGGCCTAAACAATAAGTTCGTTATATCGGTAAGTTCGTTATAAGCGCGTTCGTTATAAAACGAATTTTACTGTTCCACATGAAGCTCGTTTCCAGTCACCAAGGCGCGTATATGCCCCCTGTCTATAGATCTAGCTAAATGTCTTTATTTACATCGTCACGCTGAAGCTTTCTGGGTTCGATTCCTTACATGGGGACAACATGCCAAGTCCACGTGTCTCCCCAGCCGTGACGTTGCTTGGATATGGTTAGACGTGGCTTAAATCTCAACTTCAACTCACACAATCATTATTGACGCTTTTAACGCCCTCTTTGCAGCCAACGGTCGCTCTGATAAACTCAAGCTGATGACAGACCTGCCAGCTTGGTTCGCTCTATAGGCTCATCCCTTTATCTTGTCACGTGTCTCCAGCTGCCTCCATTGAAGTTACAACCACCTGATCATCACAAGGACGCAAAGTTGAAAGCTCTTCTGGTGAAGTGAGCAGGAACGGTAGGATGGTTTCATTCACACTATATCCATGAAATCAATATTCATGTATCGCTTGAGTGCCCACCAAAAACGTGTCCAGAGCAGCTTCTCGTCTCCATCGTGGACATATGGGCGAAATTCTGTCATCGTAAGATGTTTTTATTTTTGAATCTCACTCGGGTTCAAACGAGGAATATGTTCGTGCTTCGAAGTTCATTGAAAAAGCGGTTATGAAAGTCGTGTATACATTGGTATTAAACGGTGCTAATTGCACTGAGACGTCAGTAATATGTGTCGTCACATCATCGAAGTCCTGTAGTGTGTGAGTGCTAGGTCAAGGGGACTATTTAACTGATCCCAGCTCAGAAAATGATTGACTGAGTCTTCAAATCCGTTAGCCAAATCTCTCTTCTTTGTTTGACATACTATCTCGTGATTCAATCCCATTCACATAAGATTTATACCTTTCATTGGGTCCTGCAAGCAGATTTGATTGCTCTCTGAACGGAATTCCTGTAATCAAGAATGCATTCCCTCTTTAAGTAAAGATTAAAAATAGCAACCGCGTTGGTCAGAACATTGGTCATTACCTTTACGGGTCTTGGCTGATTTTCTCTCGAGCTATGATTGTCTGGGTCAAGTTTCTAACTCATGGACACAGCGGAGTCGTTTGTACAAAGCACCTTAGGAAGGATT